GATGAAGGAAGGTTTTTCTTAGTAGGGTGGGTGGTCACCTGACTGCCTTGCGGCTCGGAGGACAGGCCCCAGTCTGCCGCCAGCCAGAGGGCAGGCGCCCTCAGGGATCCAGACGGGAGCCCAGCCCGCCTGCACCGGGGAGGCCTGATCTTGACAAAAGTCATTTGTTTTGCTCCCAAACTTGCTTAAACCAGGTGTGCTTATTTCCTAATTGCATAATTAATTGTTACATAAATTGGTGAAGAGTGAGCAGCAAAAAAGATGTCATGTCCACGAAATCCAAGTGAAATTATATGGTAGAAGAAATTGATAACGTTAAGCCTCTAAAACCCCTATTGTTGAATTCGGTGTGGATGAGTCAAGACTGTACAAAAAGAACCTGGCCCCAGTGGCTCGGTTGGTTAGTGTGTTGTCTCAATATGCCAAGGTTGTGGGCTTGGTCCCCGGTCAGGGCACATGTAGGAAGCAGCCAATGAATGCGTCAATAAGTGGAACAACAAATTGATCTCTCTCTCTCTCTCCCTCTCCCAGTCTCCCTCCCTCTTCCCCTCCCTCCCTCTCTCTAAAATCAATAATAAAAAAAAGATTGGGCAAGAAAAAAGAAGGAAAAGGAAAAGCAGAGGATTATGCACTGTATTCTTAGTGGGTGCCCCCTCCACCGTAAGTAAACCAAAACACAAATCACAGATCCTAATGGGTGTGTTTTCTTGCTAAAAAGACTGCAAGGACTGCCAGTTAGATACCCTTAGCCCTGTAACAAAAAACAGGAGATATGATGGCATGTACCTTGATTTTAAGTTAGATGGAAGCAATTAGGAAAGCACAACTTTCCACCACACTTTGGTCAGCTGTTTCAGTTATGTGTCTAACTACTGGTCCAGCCCAGGCCGGGCATCCATTCTCCTTAAGCGCCCCATTCCCAGACACACTGGCTGACCCCCGAGTGGGCTGACATAATGAAGTGTGTGCACACAGAGATCTCAGCCAGTCTCTCTGCCTGTCAGGAGAAGGCTGGCCTCTCACCAGCTGCTCAGGGGAGGGGCCAGGTGTGCCAGGACTTGCTGAGGGGCCAGAGGAGACCTGTCTAAGTGTGAGAGGCAGTGCTGAGCAGCGTGGAGTGGGGCTGACTCAGGATACTCTGGGTAGTGTAAGAACTTTCAACAGTGCTCAAAATCACCCACCGCTGATCCTGAGGCTGTGCCATGTGGTATCAGGAAAGTAGCAGCTTCCGTGGGCATGGAAGATCAGGGTATGGGCAGGAAGGAAGTGGCATCAGGCAGGGGGAGTGAGGGAACAGAAGCCACGGTCTGTGACTTTGCCATACAGTTAGCAAACAAAACAAAACAGAACAAAACAAAACGAAACAGAACAGAACAAAACAGAATGCTTGCTAACTCTTGCACCAGTTAGCCCTGATTCCTTCTCAACACTTAATTGCACCACAGCCATTAATGATTACATTTCACCACTAGAGGGCAACAGTGTCTCTATGGTATAATGGATTCTTGCAGAACCAAGAAATCACTTAGAATGAAGAAATTTGGGAGCGGGGAGAGATCTTAAAAATCATTTGGTTCCCTGACTTTCAATTTCATTTAGCTGAAACCCACAGCGGGAACTGTATTCTTCATAATGACCTAGTTCACACACACATATATATTTGAAACACCGTAAGGCACTACTGACCCTTTACTTCAGCTCATAGTTTGTATTCCAAACCATCTCGATAAAAACCCACAAAACAACTGCAACCTACTAAATTGATTCCACAACCCACCAGTGGGCCATGAGCTTGAAAACTCTGCCTTGGTCCCAGCCTCTCATCCTCCAAAGGGATGTGCTGACCCCGAGGACGGAGAGGGATCCGGACCTGCTACACTTCTTTCCCCCACCCAGCCACCTGCCCACCCTGGGGTCGGACCTGGATGCACGACAGACATTGTGCAGCAGCTGGGCGCTCAGTTTGAAAATACACTGACTGGGACAAGAACACAAGCCTGCGTTTCCAGGATCTACCAGTTTTCACTTATCAGTGCTACAACTGCTCTTCTAGTAGCCTGGGCAGAAACCCCTGGGTCACTACCTTGGAATCTTCATGTGGGTGGTGTCTCTGCTCCTCGTTAAAGCAGCGGAGGGACACCAAAGCTGAGTGAATCTCAGACACCTTCCTGATGATCCCACCCCAGTCTGAATTAGGGCCACAGTCTCCAGCCCAGTGCCTGGCACATAGTAAGTGATCAAGAAATAACTGATGGATGAATGGACTGCCCCTCAGTATAATGGTAACTAACATTTTATATTTTACAATTGGTACTTTTATCACCTTAGATGACTCTTAAGAATAACTGGCATGGTTGGCAGGACATGAATTATTTCCATTCCAAATGAGAAAATATCCAGAAAAGACTCATCTGAGCTTCTGTGGGTTGTGTGGCTCATTGGGGGCAAAGTGAGGAACTAGACTGTGGACTCCCTACAAGGACCCCTTGCTGGTCCCCCATATTCTGGAAAGAGTCCACGGCGGTTCCTGGTAAGAGTCAGCATGCCCGCTCCTCTCCGCCACCCACTCCTCCGCTTCTGCCACCCCCGAGGGTCCTGGCATGCTGCTGTCACGAGTTTGTCACACGTTTACGATACACCCACCCCAGGCTGCCTTGATCACCCTTGGAGGTGGGAGCTTCTTTAGCGACGATATTTGGAGGAGGCAGAAAAGTGGAGGACAATAATGTCACTGAATTCCTGGGAGAAAGAAACCACTTCAGTCTCTAGAGATTCTTGGCCCTGAAGGTTACTAAGCTTTCTCTCTTCCTCGGCTCCTTGGTTTTAAAAGACAACTATTTCTGGAGGGAATGCAGAGGTAAACCGGATAACCATGGAAGTTATCCTTTCTTAGGGTCAGTGCTCTGGATTCTTCTACTTAACTCCTCCCTTTCATGTATACCTGCCTCTAATTCACTTTTAATACTTTTTTTTAAGTGAAAGTGCAAACATATTTAATTCCCCATGACTTCTAATTAATTGACTGATTTCCTCCACCCTATCCCCTCACTTTGGCAGAAGCATCTACTATTGCAGATGAAAAGCAGTAATTACAGAACATTTACACAATGGAGTACTACTTGGCCATGACAGTGAAGAAAATTTCGCCCTTTGCAACGGCATGGATGGACCTGGAGAATACTATGCTAAGCAAAAGAAGCCAGTCAGAGAAAGACAAATTCCATATGGTTTCACTCCTATGTGGAATCCAGTGGACAAAACTAATAAGGAAAATGGGGACAGACTCACAGACAGAGAGCAGGATGACAGCTACTGGGGTTGCGGGGGAAGTTAGAGGGCGGAGGGATTGAGTAAAAAGGAAAAAGGAGTCCTGGACATGAACAACAGTGTGGTGATTGATGGGGATCAGCGGGTAAAAGGGGACTAAATAGTAATAGGAAAAATATAATAAAGATTAAATAGAGAAGAACATCAATAATTTAAAAAGCCCTGGCTGGTGTAGCTCAGTGGATTGAGTGCGGGCTGTGAACCAAAGGATCGTGGTTCGATTCCCACTCAGGGCACATGCCTGGGTTGTGAGCCGGGTCCCCAGTGGGGGCCATGTGAGAGGCAACCACACATTGATGTTTCTCTCCCTCTCTTTCTCCTTCCCTTCCCCTCTAAAACCCTTTCCCTCTAAAAATAAAAAATAAATGGAACACTTCATGATTTAAAAAAAAAAAACAGTAACTGAGCTCTTTTTGGAAAGGGATTTTTTTTAAAACTCAGGGTTGAGAGCAAATTTATTTTGTGAAAGATGCCAGGTTTTTTCCTCCCAAGGGGTGACTTAATGCATGAAAATGCCAAGTATTTTATTTATTTTTTAATAGTTTTAGAAGGAATAAAAAGTCCCTGGAATTTGCAAAGTGGGGTGCTGCAGACATCCAGACCGGGCTTTCCATTCCCGCTGGCCGCCAGGCAGCAGAGCCTCTGGGGAGCGGCGGCTTGCTCCTACCTGGATAGCTAAGTTCTAAAACTCTGTTTTATTCCTTTTTCTGAACTTTTTTCCTCCCTGAGACAGCGAGGAGTGTTAAAACAGGTGACGCGAATAGGTTGTCTTTTCCTAGGAACACTTTGATTTCATCCTTCAGTAAATTTAGCCACCCTGGCTGCAGAGTTAAGTCTTTGAGGGCCCCGGTCCGAGCCTCCAATGGCCTTTCCCGCGACTACAGCTGACACCAGATAGAGAACAGCCTTCCACTCAACTCCCACCGGCCGTCTTTCAGACTCTGCCTATTTACACGCTAGACTCGGTGCTAGATTCGTTGAGGCTGAGTCTGCACGCTCTGTGGAGTATGTAGGAGTCCGTGGAAAGAGAATGGTTACTTTGGGGGCAGACCTAGTGTAGTTCTGAAACTTCTGTATTTTCCGTTTGATGGAGAGCGGTGTAGCTCTCCAGTCACGACGTGACCCTTACAGTCAGGGCCTTGTAATCGGTAACCAAACCACCAGCTGGAACGTTCTCCTTCAGTCTGTTCACTTAGAAAATGCCAGGATGACCAAGGTGCCTCTACCCAGGCAGGTGTGTAAATTCAACCACATCCTGAAGCCCCTGTACAGGGCCGCAATCAGCAAGCCAGTGGGTCCGCGGCCCAGCGTGGGAATTGGCTTAGAATTTGAATCGGTAAATCAAATTCTCCCAAGGCTTCTGCTGGAGTCACTGGCGGGTCATGTCCGCCAATAGCAACCACCCCTGGGTGTCCCCAGCCAAGATCGAGCCTTGCCTTTCGGGCCTGTTCCTCAGTTTCCCCAGACACCTCGTTCCCAGGTATGGGAGGTGCCCTGTGAAAATATTTTGGCTACGCAAATGCCGTAAAGAATCAGCCCGTCTTCCGTGAACTCTGAACACCAGCGTGCGCCTCCCGCGCCCTGGACACTTCAGCGGCGCCCGGGCACCACCCCGCCTGCGCGGCGGTCCCGCGGCCGGGCCCACGGGCGCCCGACGCCGCTCCCGCACTCACCCACGCGCTGCCGGCCTGCACCAAGGACAGCTCACGCAGGGCGCTGGGCGAGCCCACGCGGAAGTTGAGGAAGTGCAGCGCCGCGTGCGCCGCCTGCTCCAGGATCCCCCTCGGGAGCGCCCAGGGCGGCATCCGCGGGTAGTAGTCGTCGTACTCCCGCGACACGCGCGGCCGCACCGGCACCGCCCCCGCCCCCTGGAGGGCGAGCAGCAGCAGCAGCAGCAGCGGCGCGAGCAGCGGGGCCGCGGGGCGCGGGCCCCGGGGCCCGGGCGCGGACAGCGGTTGCTGGCGGAGCTGCATGGATGCGGGCGGGCGGGCTGGCGCGGCGCGGGACGGGCCCAGGCTTGGAGCCGGCGTCGCGGGCGCTCGAAGAAATAAGGCCGCAGCGGCCCCGCCCCTCCGCCCCCGGGGCCGCCCGCTGTCCGGAGCCCCGGTCCCCGATCGGCCGCGCCCTCTCGGGAATTCCCGCGGACCTTGGCCCCTGCGCCGCGCCCCACTCGGCCTGGGACGCGGCGGCGCCCTGGCGGCGCGGGGCGGGGGGTCAGACCCCCGCGCGGGCCGAGGAGACTCCTCCCGAGAGGGCGCCCCGCCGCCGCTCCCCCAGCCCAGCGCGTGGACCCAGCTTTTCTGCCCTGCAGGTGCTGCGGTTTCAACACCTCGGGTTTCAGCGTCAGTTCTTGAAGACTTGGCGCTGTGACTTCCCAGAGGGCGAAGTCGCGGCGTTGGTGGTGGTGGTGGGGGGGGGTCAGTGTAGCACGATGACCGTGGAAGTGGGACAGGTCGCTGGAGAGCTGGGGCTGAAGAGGAGGCTGCAGTTGTCAGCCGGGCAGAGTCAGATAAGACCCAAGAGGCCCCACTGGTCTTGGGAACAAGTGGGTCATTGATAACCTTGGCGAGAAGCAGATTTAAAGGCTGGCGGTGGAAGCCGGATTCCAGAGGCGTGAGGCGTGGATGGGGCTTTAGGACACTGGAGGCTGCGAGGGAATGTTGACAGCTCTTTTTAGACACGTGGCAGTGAAGGGATGAAATGGCTACTGTTTTTGACCCACGGACAATAGTGTCAGCCCAGAAGAGCCAGGGGGTAGAGGGCAGAACTGATACTGCTGGGCGTTCCCAGTATCCAGTTTTCCATCTCTCTTCATTTTGTTAAGGGGTCCACCCCTTCCAGACACCTGCTGACTCCTCCGTCCCACTGTGGAGCCGAAGGAAGTTCCTTCAGACCCAGCATGCGTGATTCTGGATGAGATGCTGGGGGGAGGCTGGGCAGCGATGCCTGAATGGGGACCGGGCTACCATCTCTGAAGACACCCTTCCTCCCCACTTCTTCCTGTGGATGCTGACTGTCTCCTGTCTGTCTTGCTGCTGCAGATGTTTATGGGACAACTACTCTGCTCCAGACAATGAGAGAGACAATCTCGGAGTACACCTTCTAGACAGGGGGTGGGGGGTGGCCTAGACAATGAAACAAGCAGGCAAATGTGGCCTGTGTTGGATTTGGATACAGTTGTATGCAGTGGAGAAAATTCAAGCCCTCTTCAGCGGCGGGCAGGTGTGGGAGAGTCCCCCGCTCCCCCCCAGGCAGGAGGAGCAGCAGGTGCAGACACCCTGGGGCAGGAGTCCACTGAGCGTGTTTGAAGAAGAGCAAGCACCTGCAGCGGGAGGGAGAGTGCAAGGGGAAGAGTGCCAGGATGAGAAGCCAGGGGTCATGGGGGGTGGGAAGATCACGCGGGACCCACGGGCCTCATCATGTCTGGATGTGCCACACAGAGGAACACTTCTACCACCCTTGCAGCCAGAGAATGAAGCCCACCTGGAGAATGGCTGAGCGGAGAGAGGGGAGGAGCCTGGGTTCTTGACGACGTTGCCAAGCACCCAAATCAACGAACGGATCCTGGAACAGCCATGTTTCATTTTTAAAATGTTTAAATCATAGCATTCATTTGATAGACAGATTTTTCTGGGATATAGGAGAGTATTTCCTTTGCTGAGAATTGTCCATTCTTGACCTTTGTCCCCTGATCTGTGGGGTGTTTGCATTGCACTTCTAATTGATTTACAGAAGCTCTTCAAATCCTAGGGAAACTGGGCCTTGGTCTGTCATGGGTATCATTACTGTTTTTTTCTCAGTTCATATACAGCGTTTGTGTGTGCCGACTGGTCCACCTTGCCAAATGCCGTGTGCACGGGTGATAATAACTGCACAGCCTCTGTCCAAAGGGCCCGGCCTCTGGGGTCATACGTACCATCACTAACCCTGGTCTCTCCTCATTGGAGTTGGGTGGCTGAAGCCTTCTCCCTGCTGCAGGGCTGGCCCCCAGCCTTGTGCTGAGGTAGATGTGTCCCCACCAAGAGTGTCCCATGTGCCATGTTTCCTGGTTCCTTAGTCACTGTGCAGGTCATCATCATTTTTGTACAGAGAATTTGGTTTGTGTTTAAGAAACATAATGATATAAAAAAACTATAGTGATGTTTAATCATATGAAAAGATGTTCAGTACAGAGGGTGAGAGAATAAACTGACACAGCCTTTTTCTTGGGCTATTTGCATGTCCATCAAAATTAGCAATGTCCATAGCTCCTGACACAGCAATGCTACCTCGGGAGTTTATAGTAACAATAAATTCACACATGTACACAAAGTGGTGTGGATGAGACTGTTGGTCTCTGCATGAGGTTTGCACATTTCCCAAATAGCAATATCCCGTTTTCCGTCCTTCATTCCTAGAACAGTGCTTGGCACACCATAGGCACCGATACATAACTTGGGGGAAATAATGAAACGTAAAAGCCTGGAAAAAAATCTAAGTTCCATGGTCGAACAATTATGATACCTGAGTTACTGTACCTAACCCAGAACCAAGTTGGGTTCTTGTCTCCCGAAATAAAAGAATTTAGTTCAGGGACGCCAATCATGAAAATAAGATTGACTTCAGCTCTGCAGAGGGTGGCAACTCTAAGAATGAGAACCAGAAAGTCGCGCCTGCGTGGGAGCGCTCAGGCTTTTTACTGCGAGTAGGCCCTTCCAGTTTGGTGTGCGTTTCTATGGCAACAGGGCGCGACACGCGGTCATGAGTTCCATGCCACCCACAGGTGCACCCTGGTCTTGTTTTTCTCCCTCTTTAAGCCCCGTAAATAAGCTGAATAAAAGATAATCATTTATCTTGTGTGTCTTAGGGGTCTTATGCTTGTAGCCAGCTGCTAGGTGCTCCCTTCTCCTCCCTTCCGCAGGCACCTGTGGTATCTCACAACTGCAAGGAGAAGTGTCAGAGGAGGTTCCCGGACCAGGGAGACTTACACTATGTCTGCTCTGGTTAGGGAGGAAGAGGTGTAAACCATTTGCTCTCAAGTGTCCTTGGTTAGTGGAGATAAGGCATTGTGATTTACCAGCAGGCTGTAAGTTGCTCAAATTGTTTGGCCTTGTTTAATTTTCTGGCCTCTGTTTCCCCACTCCATTTGCCCAGCAATTTTTTCTAGCTTCTTACTATCCTGTCACACTTCTAACTAGGGGAGTATTATACAGCCATTAAGAAGTGGTGGGATCCAGGCCGGCGGACACTGAACCATCTCTGAGATGTAAGTTGTTAATGGTCAGCAAATGTAGCATAGGGCAAATTGTGTGCTGCTGGTTATCTGAAAAGAAACAAATAGCATACTCATAAGCATACATATATACCTTTGGAAATACTCAAAGATGTCTCTGGAAACATTTATAAGAAATTACCAACTATTCACCACATACTCTTTTGTGGCAGGTATTTTCTTAGTCACACATGTTCCCCATTCTAAATAATTTTTAAAAAGTCAAATGCTGTGTGTGAACACACTCCATATCCGTTCTTTCCCAGGTAGGAAGACCCACCACTTCTGAGGGACTGGAAAATTTGATCGTTTGGCCTGGCCAGGGCTAGCCTGTCCTCAGGCTCATCTAGCACGTAGTTCAGGCCAGCCTGCCTCCCTCTGAGCCCTACCTTTCCACACTCTTCTCAGGCCCAGTTGTGTTTCCCCACATTAAAAGTCCAGGAAAGGTGTTGATGTGCTGATTCATACTGTGTTGTCCATGACTGCCACGGCTCACTGCATTGCTCTTCCTAGAAGTATTATCATTTTAATAGGGGCAAAGTCGTAGGCCTTGAGAACTGAGTCCTGATTGAACAGACTGCAGGCATTCACAACTGTTCGGTGTGCTAACTAGAGGCATTCCGCAGCCTCAGCATCCACACCTGCCCCTTCCTACCTGTTGAGTAGTAAGAGGCCAGAGAGCTGGGTGGGAAGGTTTTGAGGGCTGTTAATTATTCATTCCCCTCCTCCAAGGCAGGAGGGACTGGGGCGTGTCTTCCCTGGAGATGGCTGAACACAGAGGACTGCTGAAGTACCCTTGCCAGAGGCCCAAGGGGACTAGGTATGAGGGGACTGGGTTGTAATGTGCTGACAAAGAAGGGCGTGGTGACAGTGCTGTCACAGCTATCTCCAGCTCTCCTGGTTTGTGGTGGGTGCGGGTGAGGACTCCGGAGCAGGTGTGAGGAGCCGCAGGCGTCACCTGCCTTAGTGGCCTGGAACTGTACCAACAGGCGAGGTTCCGTGGCCTTTGAAGTTGCCGGCGCCACTCCCAGCCCTCAGGATGAAGCAGAGATGAGGCACAGATAGACACCAGGTCCTTGTGGATATTACTCTCCTGCTGGCTCACGACCTGCCCGAAGCTTACTCTAGCTGCACTTTTCCATGATGAGAGTTGATAGGCCAAGTTTCTTGTTTAAAACAGTTTACACATGATTTTGTTACTGTGGTTGAAAAATCCCTGATGGATTGCTGGGGACCTCAAAGATACAAAGCTGCCCCATGTGGGGCCTGCCTGTGCCAGTACTGGGGACACCTCAGCTGCCTCTACTGTGAAAAGACCGTATTGACAGATTCTGCCAACTTTGGGCTGAACCAGCTGGTAAAAGGCCCCCGTCTCCAAACACCCCCCAGCCATAGCTGTAGAACCTCACCAGACACAGGGGCTGCGCCAGCCATGTCTCCAAGGAGAAGGGACTCCCCTACTCTCTCAGGTTCTTCTCTGAAAAGAGCAGAGTTACGGGGAGCTGAAGTGAAAAACCAACCCTGCAGCAGGAGAAGGAATCCCTTAGATCAGGATGTCAAACTCATTTTCACTGGGGGCCACATCAGCCTCAAGGTTGCCTTCAAAGGGCCCGATGTAATTTTAGGACTATAAATGTAACTACTCCTTAACTAGGGGCAAGGAGCTCCGTGCTACCGCCGGTTAGAAACAAGGTCCCGGGCCCGATAAAACAAGGTGGGGGCCCGGATTCAGCCTGCGGGCCTTGTGTGTGCCACCTCTGCTTTACATAGAGACTGGAG